CCCGCTCGTCCAAGTATATGCTCTTCATTCAGTCAAATTAACAATAATATCTAAATTGTTAATTGGATTATGTCTCTACCGGAGAGTAAATGGGAGGATTGAACAGAATGCAAATAAAATGGAGAAGTCACATTGGTATCAATTTCAATATTCTCACAACGTTGTATAGCCGTATAACTTGAGAGAACACTTTGCATTCACCCTCCACCCCCACATCTGAAGCTCACAACACTAGACCTGCATTCAATTTCTCATGTTTCAAGTGCAGGCCAACAAGTTGAATCAATAAAAATTAATATAAGTAATAATATTGTAAGTGGAATAAGATGCCAAAAAAGCAGATATATATAGTTTAATCGAGCCATTTTAAGATATTTATCTACATAATATCCATACACAACACCTCAAGCATTCTAAAGAGGCTGAATAGCAAACAATTTCAGTAACTAACAGACATTTAAAAATGCCTTTAGGATAGAACACCAATAGACACCATATAGACTGAATAAATTTAGGGCGCTTAATCGTGGTCTTGTGAGCTGGAAAGATAAATGAACGCAAGATAATAATTATCTAAGACGTGAGTAATATTTTAAGCTGGTTCCTAATTAGTAGAATAGAAATTAGACAGATCATGAAAGAATTAAGTAATCAAATTACACGTGGAAAGTATGAACGACACTTTCCAGTAATTCGAATGGTATAATTATTTTGATCGATGGGAACTCGATGTTATAGCATTAGACACCAATACCCGCATAAATAAGGGAAATCAATAGAGCTAGCAAGACCAAAATGACTTAAAGATATTTGATAGAACACAACTGTAGCACCCAACGATCGAGTTGAAGTAAGTAATCAACGAGTCGTGCCAATCGAAAAGGAGTTATGAGAGAGTAATGGGAACTTACTTGAGTAGCTCTTCAAAGACCAGACAGTCAACTCGGACATCTATCATGTGGTCTGAGTAGTAGTTACGAATGGTGTTGTGAGTGAGAGCGTGGAGGAGCCAGAATGTTCGCTCTTCCGCCTCAGTCTGCACCTCAGGAACTGCTTGCATTGCCAAGAGTATGGTCGCCGCAACATAGTTCAATCCCTTAATTCAAGAGAAAGAAGAACTAGACAGACTTGTGACGCATGAATTAAAGCGAAGCAAACAAAGCGAATTAAAATGAAAAGTTTATCAATCATTCTTATTTACTTAACTCTGGAAAACAATTCACACTGCAACTTCCACGATACGAATGAGGGAAAATACTCTTCTTCTTTTCAAATTTATATTAGGAAGTGGGGTGTGCGATAGACTTACCTCCACGTGGTGCACCACAAGGGGTGTGCGATAGACTTACCTCCACGTGGTGCACCCTGGTGGGTGTGCGATAGACTTACCTCCACGTGGTGCACCCTGGGAAACGTATACTCATACGGTAAAAAGTCTATTAACCGGAAGTTTGTGTGCGATAGACTTACCTCCACGTGGTGCACCCTGGGCAGCGTATTTTCTTACGGCAAAAAAGTCTATCACTCGGCTTTCGTTATATTCATACGGCAAAAAGTCTATTAACTGGCAGTTAACTACGATAGACTTACCTCCACGTGGTGCACCCTGGGCAACGTACTTTCTTACGGCAAAAATTCTATCACTCGGCATTCGTTTTTGCTCATACGGCAAAGTCTATTAACTGGTAGTTGACTTCTCCGCATACGGCAAAAAAGTCTATTAACCGGCAGTTTTCTTCTCACTTCAAACTACCATGACCCCCCTATATGTCCTACGCTGACTTCTAACTACCATCACCTCACTACCACAGTACTCACATCATCTTTTTTCTACCTTCGTGTCTGTCTCTTTTACGTCTCTGAAACACTGTTCTGTTCCCCCAACCAACTCGACTTTTTTCATTTTGGTATTCCATCCCCTCTGTGAAGCCTGAAGTCAACTAAAGGGCTAATGATAACTGTCAAAACGCCTGCCATTTGATATAAATAAATATTAGGAAGTCAAATTGAGAATTTTGGTACTCCTGAAGGAATGTAACAGACTTCACTCCGCGTGCACAGAACTACGGGTGAATGAGTTTCAAATTCGTGCCTGGGAGGGAAATGTCACCACTGCAGTCAATCGTTTCCATAATCCAAAGCCCTCTGGCTTCATCTTCTGACGATAATGCCAGTTCTTACTAAGGTGCACCAGCTTATTGACAACCGATATAAAAGAATTTTTTGAAATCAAATAGCAAGTCACAGCAAGAATCTGCCACGATAGTTGCTCGAAGCATTTAGAACACGTGCACATAAGCTTTAGTCGATCGGTGAAACCCAAGGTATATATTAACAATCCCAAAGTGGCGATCTAATTCTGTTCTCAAAGCACGTTTTCTGGCAGTACCAATAGAGCATTTCATACAAATGACAACAAAAAATCGTTACTGACCTCCTCTAACCCCCCCCCTGCCCCTTCCCCATCGTTAACATAATAAGATAATTACCTACAATAATAAGAAAGACAAATAAAGGTGATTCCAAGTCATGGAATCATAATCGGTTATATTTACGCAGGCTAACATGTTTCCCACATGCACCCCCTCTCAAAAGTGAAGTATGTTTACATGAATCAACACGTGCGTGCGCACCGCGTCGAACACAGGCCCTGCAGTGCAGTTCATGAAAACGAAATTTGGCATGAAGTGGTATTTTTTGCACTCTAGTCAATATTACTAAATCTCCCAATGGCGATTACCTTTAGGAAATGACTATATAAAGTGATTGGGGGAGTGACCCATTCACTCGATTGTTTACCCATTAAAATAATTTAGGGCTTATATTTTAACTATGTGCAATAATCCAACTTTTTTTCTCAAATCAAATCAGAAAGGCGTTTTCTTCCCAACATTTTGGGTTTCTGGTGAGAAACACAAATTATGTCTTTTAACTCTGTTGAACAAACTTAAGACGTTTGAAAAACCAATCAGCTGATTGGAAATGCAAAATTGAAGATCGACCTAATCATTATCTTGTTGTAATAATTCAGCACAATGCTTGTACTGGAACAAGTAGTTTCTGAACACCTTGGTATACAGATAACCTGGAGATCCGCGTCGAGAATTACTTGTAAAAGCATGTGCTACGATAACATCTCCTGATTTTGTACCTTGTGAAGTCTTACTT